ATACCTGATCCCATCAACACCTCATAATCACACAGGCTGGTGTGCTTCTTCGATGTGGGCTGTTTTGCTTCTGAGCTAGATGTCTGCTTGTTTATCTTCAAGCCTTTAAGACCCCAGATGCTATATCTTTTGGTAGCCTGACACCATCAGCTTTCTTCATCACATTTGCTTATGCATCTGCTTTGTCTTCAGCAATTGTGTCAGGAAGGTGAGCATCATGGAATGCCAGGTTAATAGACACACATATGAGTGTCTATGAATTTGTTTCTCTAGTCAACCAGTACTAACACAGCCCTTTTTCATATAAAGGTGAGTAGGTCACATGTAAACTTGGAGAAGGCAGTACACAGTAAGAGAGGTCAGAAAATATAAACGATAATACTAATAATAGAGACAGGGGAAGAAACTGGGAGGAATGCCAGTGTTAAAGGCAACAGAGGTACATACTTTGGTATATGCAATCCTACAATAATGACAATCTACTGGTATACTGGTATACTCGTGGCTAGACACACAGCCTGATGGGTGTGGGAGGGAGAGTGTGAGTGTACACACTCTTGTATAAGCTTTGACAGGGGATATTTGCACATGCTGCAGATATACCCACGAATGTGGTGGAGCACACAGGGGGAAACGTTATAAAAACATCTTAAGACATAACCAGCCCCCTTGAGGGAATAGGTTACAGGGTCTGGGGGATCAGGACCGTAGTCTCAGGGGACATCAAGTGCAATTGCCATAACATAGTCCAAGACAGTGTTCTATATATAACTTTGGTAAGTAGCAACTGGGGTCTTAAAAAAACTCGTGAGTAATCAACTAAGACACCACTGTTGGTCTCGCTTTATCTAGAGACAAGAAGAGTGATGGAAGTTGAAGAAGAAAGGAAACACTGTGTCCAATGGAATACCGTGTGAACATTCATCTATATACTCTGAGACCAGAACTGTAAGGTACCCAGATACCACTCCCAACTGATCACATGAAAAGAAGCCCTGGTTTCCCTTCAGGACCAGGGGTGAGAGGGAGG